GGCGGCAGGTGGGGCAAAGAGAACAGAACAGCTTGAGCCAAGGAGGGAGATGAGAAAGAAGAGTGTGGTATGAACAGGAAGCTTTGAGCCATGGAGAAGAGCTGGGGCATGAAAAATGGGGAGGACAGTGTCAGGGAATGAGGGCTGCAGAGGTCTCTGGGGTCAGGCAGCCCTACTCCCTGCCCCCAACCACACACTATTCCCTGTAGGTACCCCAGGGAGGAAAGGGGCTTCTATGATGAACTCTGGTGACTCCACATACTGCATTCTCTTCTGGGTTGTTTTTTTTTTTTTTTTACTATGTATTAGCAAAACAAAGCCTCTGAAAAGTCCTGCAGCTGAGAAACACATTTAACTGTGCTATGCAGCATTTGACCACAGAATCTTCTTTTCTTAGACCTAGTGACACCACTTAGGCAATGCTGATGGAGCACAATCTTCTCATTCTACAGCTGAGGTTCAGAGAGGCTCAGTGGCTTGCCAGAGGCCACACAGCAAATGATTGGGAGGGCCAGAGGTTAGCTGGATGTCCTGGTTCCTCACCCTGTAAGCTCTCCATCTCCCAGTTTCTGACAGGTCTAGAAGCGGCTGGGGAAGAGTGGGAGCTGCAAAGATGGCAGAGACATTAGATCTCCCCACCCCTAAAGGGCTCCAGGTGGCTCCTCCTCTCAGAGGGCGGGGCTCAACATCAGGGGCGGGGCTTGTCTGTCTGGGGCGGGGCTTATGACTTCTTTGAGGTCAGCAGCACTGTTGCCATCCCCATTCTACAGATTAAGAAGCTGAGGCTCAGGGCCACATGCCTGGTAAAGTGTGGAGCTGTAATTCACGCACAGTCTGAGTCACGCCAAGTACTGCTCTTTCCACTCTCCTAATCCTTTTCCCTCTCTTGATACAATGTGAGTGGAAAAATCTGGATACGAAACTATCTGCAGGTATGATCCCAGGGTTATCTATGGACATCGAGAAAGCTCTCAGAAGAAAAACTCCAAACACGTTAACAGCGGCTCTTTCTGGATGATGGCTCTTATTTCTTTATATTTTCTGTATTTTAAAGGTTTTTCACAGTGAACACATATTACTTTTCTATGAGGAAAAAGGAACCCAATAACGGAGGCTGTAAAAAGGAGCTGAAATAAGATTTCTTCCCTTTCGGGCACCAGCTGAAGGATGAGAATTTTGGGAAGAACTTGGGGAAGACACTCAGGAAAGAGGAAAGCAGGAAATGACAGGGAGAGGACAGAGTTGAGCAGGGGGCGCTGGGCTCGGGGCCAGGTCCATCCCTGCCAGGGCAGCTCGGGGAGGGTCCCACCTGCAGTAGCTAGGCTGTGGCTGTCCAAACCCGGGAAAGTAAGGCTGTTTCCTGGACCTGAGTGGGTGGCCCTGGTGGGCAGGCCTAAGAGCCGGCAGGGCCAAACCACACTGCCGTTCATCTCTCTCCTTGGGCTGCTTCTCTTGGGCCTCCCATAGGCTGAGCGCCTGAGGGAAACTGAGGCTGCCCTAAGATGCTCACCTAGCTCAGACCCCAGTCCTGAGATGCCCCAGTCAGTCCCAGACTCCAGCTGGGCAGAGCTCCTGAGCAACAGCTGGAAAGAACCCCCCTGCCCCCCATTTGAACTCCCCAAATTCCTTTCTTAGCCCCTCTCCTTTCCTGACTTCCACGTCAGCACAGACCCAAATGGTCCAGGACTCCGGAAGGCCCCCTTTCCACCTCATCGAGGGTGAAATCTCCCTATCCCCTTCTTCACCAAAATTAAGAAATACCTCTGTTCATTATTTAACCAAATCCAAGGCTAATATCCCTTGACAGGCCCGGGGGAGGGGGAGGAGGAATTTGCATCCCTGAGCACCTACTGTGCTCTGTCCCCATGACCTCCTTCACCCTCACAACGGCTTGTGAAGGAGGCACTGGGTCTGCCCCCTTCTCTCAGATGAAGAAACTGAGAGGTGAAGTCACTTGCTCTAAAGCCCCAGCAAGTGAGAGGCGACCAGATCTGTCTCCTTAAGCTCAAGATCTTTCCATCTTCTGGAAATAGAATTTCATTCATTCATTCATTCATTCACTCACTCATTCACTCATTCTCAAACATTTATTGGCTCCTCTTTCTGGCCAGACTGCAGAAAGGCCCTATGGGCAGGCACAGGAGGGCAATGGGGAGCCATGGAGGGTTGTTGAGCAGAGGACAGAAGTGGTCACAGTTCAGTCACTTTGGTTGCCTTGTGGAGGATGCCTTGGAGGGGCTAGTCTGGCGGCTGGTAGGCGGGGGCACTGACATTAGTGAAGCGGCCCCAGGAGCAGGTTTTCTCCAGGGGGAGAGATAATGAAAACAGTTAATGTTTATTGAGCACTTACTCATAGCCAGGCACTGTGCTAATTTAGTCCTCACAACAACTTTTTGGGGTGGGTCCCTGTGTACCCATTTTATAGATGACTCACTTGAGGTACACAGAGGTTAAGCAGCTTCCCTGAGGTCGTACAGTGAGAAGTGGAAGATGAGGGCTGTTTGGACCAAGGTCTGAGGTGCCTGTGGGACCTCGGGGGGGAATGTCTCGGAGACGTCTGGGTGAGGATGAAGGGTGGTGCCCGAGGCTGGCAGTGGAAGAGATGGAGCAGGGACTGGGCGTAGAGAGAGGACCAGGGCCAAGGGTCCTGATATTCCTTGATCTTCCTCTCCTCAGAGAATGCGAATCCACGAGAGTCTGAGGAGGAGCAACCAGAGTGGTAGGAGAGCCCGGGAGAGCCTGAGGCGCTGGCACCGGGGCAGGGCGTGTGAAGGACAGAAGGGTCCCCGCTGCCAACAGGCGCTGCTGGCTGGGGCTCTGCCGCGTGTGTTCTCCCCACAGCCACGCACAGTGCATTGCCTCTCTCCCTTGGCATCTTTCCAAGGTTCTGGCCGCCCCTGTGCACTCTCCAGAAGGCTGCAGGAAGGTGTGGGGGCACAGTGCCTCCAGGCTCCCCCCAAAGCCGGAGCTGAGAACAGAAGTGGGGTGGGAGGTGGGAAGCCCACACAGGGGTCCCCACAGCGACAGGGATGCAGGGCTGCCGGGAGTCAGCGTGGAGTAGTGAGGCCTGACCCCAGACATGGCCTGGCTGTGACCTGCTGTCATCCGCCAGGGCCTTGCTCATGTGGCGACTAAGGAGGGACTGGCCTGCCTCCAGGCCCATCTCTCTCCTCAAGGCCAGGGTCGCCTCTCAGACCTCAGCTTGGGAACTACTGTGGGTCCCTCTCCCATGCTCTAAGTACTAGGCTCAGGCTTGGGGATTTTCAGGCCATTCAACAAGTTGCCTCAGTTTCCCAGTCTTTAAAATGGGCTGATGTGGCTCTTGCTGTGAGGATGAAATGAGGGGATTCCTTCCCTTGCCCACGGAGCACCTTCTCTGGGCTAGGTCCTGGGCTGTGGGCCAGCAGAGGGAGAGCTACACACAGGCTCTGCTTTCACTGATGCAACACAGCCATCTTGTGACAGGCGCACCGACGGAGGTGTGGGTAGAATGCCAAGGAAGTATGGGATGGGGGATCAACCCTGCCTGGGAAGGTTGAGGAGGGGCCGGAGAAGCTCCCAAAAGGAGGTGGCAATTGAGCTGGGCCTGGAAGGACAAGAGGCTTTTGTTGGTTGGGGAACTATGGGGAATGTCATTCTGGGCATAGGGAAGAGCATATGCAAAGGTGCAGAGGTGGGAAGGAGCATGAGGAGGTGCTTGGGGAGGAAAAGGAGTGGAGGGTAAGGGTCAGGCTGTGTGAGGCAGGCAGACTGGCATCCTGGGCCTGCCCAGCACCATCCTGAGGGTGGTCCCTGGCTCCTTGTTGGGGCTGGACATGCTCTGGGCAGGAGCCTGTGCTCCCCAAGGGTCAGGCTGGTGATGCAAGGGTAGGACAGGCCAGGCCTGGTCTGGGCAATGCTCCTGGCTTGTCTTCTTGGGGAGTCCTTGGCTTCTGGAGACTTGAGGGGACAGGGCTGGCTGAGCTTTCAACATGTTTTATTAATGCTGACCTTTCTCTCCAGTTTTCATTGTTGGGCAGCGAGGGCAGACCACTAAGTTGCCGCATCTTTCTTCCATTGTGACCACCTGTCCCCCTGCCGTGGTGCTGTCTCTCTGTGTCCTGTTCAGAGGCCCAGCTTCCTGCTCTTCTGGTTCTTCTAACAGCTTTCCCAGAGGAGCAACGTCCGGGTCTGTCGGCCCCTAGGCCTTGAGTGTGTCTGCTGGACACTGCCCTGAGCCCACAGGGGGTTTCCTCCACACCTTAAACCTCCCCAATGGCATGAGCCCTCAGCCCCTCCAAGGCAGTGCTGTGCAGTGGTCGGACTGTGGGCACCTGGGTGGGGCTGCCTGGGCTCAAAGCTGAGATCCACCTGGCTGGGTGACCCCAGGCGGGTTACCTAACCACCCTGCTATGGTCTGAATGTTTGTGTCTCGCCGATTCATATAGTGAAATCTGAACCCCCACGGTGGGTAGTAGGAGGTGGGGCCTTTGGGTGTTGATTAGATCACGAGGGTGGAGCCCTCATGATTGGGATTAGTGCCCTTATAAAAGAGGCCCCAGAGAGCTGGCTTGTCCCTTTGCCCCTGTGAGGACACAGTGAGAAATCTTGTCTACGAGCCAGAAAGCAGGTCCTCACCAGACACTGAATCTGCAGGTGCCGTCATCTTGGAGTCCCCGGCCTCCAGCATTGAGAAATACATTTCTCTTGTTTACAAGCCACCCAGTTTATGGTGTTTTTGTTATAGCAGCCTGAACAGACTAAGACACACCCCAACCTCAACGTCTTCATTTGTAAATTGGGAAGGTAATAAAAAGTAGCCACTTCGAGGACCACTGAGGATTAAATGAGATTTTATGCATGAAAAGTGCCAGGCACGCAATGGGCGCCACTTACCCATTGGCAATTGCTATGGTTTCTCTGTCATTAGGTCCGGGTATCCCTTAATTGCTAAAAGGTGGCACCCTCCTTAACCAGTTAACTCTGTGGAAGAGGAGAGGACACACTACAACCCGGTGGTTAATCAGGGTGTGTTGGGGGAGGGCTGTGTATTTCAGGCCTCCCAAGATCTGGGCTGATGAGTCCAATTTCACCTGTTTTAAAATTTTTCTTTTCTTTCTTTCTCCCAGGCTCTTCCTGTCCTGTAGGAGGAAAGACCCTCAGGCCCTGCCCTGGCTCTGGAGCCTCCATCTCACTTAATCTGCAGTGTGAATGGTGGCCCTGGGGTGCGGCCACTCCACAGACCTGCCTTTCTCTCCCCTGACTCTAGGCAGAGGCCCCGCCAGGCCTCAGCGGGGGCTTTCTCCTGCCATTGAAAACTGTCTGCGAGTTGAATGCAGTTGAGTTCCTGCCTGCTGCTTTTAGACAACTAGCCCCACCAAGAGCGAGACAGAGGCAGGTGGCTGCATTCTGTAAAAAGTTCAGGCCTTCTGGCTAGATGGACACTTCTGGGACTGTTCAGCCCAAGAATAGCCACCAGGTCTGTGTAAGGGTGATTCCCATAATTGGGAAACTCTCATGTCAGTTCTATTTGCACTTTGCAGGCTCTCTGGGGATAGATTCATTCACTCATTCATTCCATCCACTCATCCATCCACTTATTCATATACCTACTCATCCCATCCAACTCCCCACCTATCCATCCCCCTACTCTCCTATCTATCCATCTTTCCACCCACCCGTCCCATCTATCCATCCACCTACACATCTCACCCAATCCACACATCTATCCACCTCCCTATCCACCCATTCTTTCACCTCTCCATTCATCCATCCTTCCATCCACCCATTTAGCCGTCCATCCCTCATCCCACCCACTCATCCATCTCTCCATCCATCCACTGATCCATCCACTCACTCATCCCACCCAATTGCCCCACCTATCCATCTCCTCATTCCCCTACCAGTCTATCCTCCCATCTCACTCACTCATCCCTCTCTCCATCCATCCCTTCATCCAGGAACCAGCTGGACCAGCAGTGGCCCAGGCTGGGGAGTAGCACCACATCCTCCCACTGACCTTCAGCCTCACCCTTGGCAGACAACTGGGCTTCTCATGCCACTGAGAACATGATGGTGAGCACCTCTGAGCTCTTCCTGATCACCCAAGACCTCTAGGATGCCTTCTCTGACCACCTTGCCACACCTATGGCAGGCTGCCACCTCCCTGGTGCCTCCTGGGTTGCAGTCCCAATCAGATGGAGTCCGGGGGCCGGGATGGGCAGCAGCTCACCGTAGCTGTGTTCGTACTCTCGATGGCGGCGGCGGTGGCGATGGTGGTGGTGGTGGTGGCGGCGGTGGCGGTGGTGGTGCCGCTGGAGCCGAGCCTGCCTGTCCCTGCGGATGCTGCCCACGATGATGGTGATGCAGGAGAGGATGATGACCACACCTATGACTGCACTCGCCACCAGCACAGGGGACACGAGCAGATGGCTGTGCTCTGAGCTCTCTGAGAATGTGGGGTAGAAGTAGCTGGTGCGGTTGTATCGAGCTACTGTGGACAGAGAGAGAGGACACTGAGCTGGGGCACAAACCCCGCCACACACATTCCTCCTCCATCCCTGCTGCCCTGTGAGTTACTTATCCCTACATAAATGGCAGATAGTCCGGGGTCAGGACCATGGAATCTATATGGGCTGCTCCTGACAGGGAGGAGGGGAGCAGCCCCTTGCTCTACTGCCTGCAGGAGCCTCTGCTAGTGGGGGCTGACCTCTCCCCCTCTCCTCTGAAGCCTGGAAGCTCAACTAACTCACAGGTAGGAAAAGAGAAGCTCAGAGAGGGTAATGGACTTGCCCAAGGTCACACAGCAAATTAGTGGCAAAGCTGAGGCTTGAACCCAAGACTCAGTACTAGACAAGGACTCTACTCCACCAAGATATGAGGTTGGAAGGTCAGCATGACTTTACCAAGGTCTTGGGAAGGGGCTGGGGATGCACAGGGGGTCAGAGTATGAGGATGGTCTCCAACACTGGCCTCTTGCCTTGGGGGTGAAACCTACCCAGGGGATTCCAGGGAAATCATGTAGGCCGGGAGGTGTGGGCAGAAACTCACCCAGAGACTTCAGGGGGTTGCATCAGATCAGGGAAGGCTTCCCAGAGGAGGTGGGGCTGGGAGGCATTCCAGGCAGGGGAAGAGCAAGGACAAAGGCACAGAGGGGTGGAAGGGGTCTTCTGGGAAGGGGTGTGGTGTGGCAGGAGCATGGGGAGATGCAAGAACCTCCTCTAGGACTAACAGATGGGTTCCTGAGAGCCCTACGCAAGGAAGCTCCTGGGGACCACGGTGACTTTGTCCCACTACAGAATAAGATGAAGGGGCCCTGGAGGCTGGGGTCCTGGGGAGGGGTTAGAGTCAGCCAGGAACAGCCACAGGCACCTGCTGCCTCGCTCAGGGAGAGCCAGCAACTCCTTAGTGAGTGCCTTGGAGTGTCACTCATTCCCTCCAGTTCAGCCTGGCAGGGATGTGGTTTTTCCTTTACAGATGTATGGACTGAGGCTCAGTGCTGGTAGGTGACGAGCCCACGTGGCTGAGCCCAAGCTTCAAAGTCCAGTGCTCACTCTGTGTCCCCTGCCTCAAGCATGAGCCCTTCCTGAGGCTGCGGGCCAGTCTTTGGACACCCATAGGGAGCCAGCCTCAGACACTCAAGGAGCCACAGGGTCGGGGGCAAGCACTCCTGGGCCGTTCTGAAAGGAGCCCCCATCTGTCCTCCCAGAGCCTGAGTCCACATCCTTATTTTGCATTTGTTGCATATGATCATGCATGGTTTCCAGGGCTTGTGTTCGATAGTGCTCTGTGTCCTCAAGCTCAGCCCTGGGCCTGGACACACCAAAAATGCCCAAGGCACATATTGAGTCAGTGGCACCAGACTTGAGACCAGATGGGGAAATGGCAGAGAGGCCCTGTGCTGCCTCAGGGGAAGGAGGACTCTGTCTTGGGTGGTAATCAAGCAGAATTTGGATGGCCACCTGCCTGGGTAGCTGTAGGAGGGCTTTTTTGCCTAGGCAAGGGCCTGGACTTATGCAAATCAGAGGCTAGACACTCAGCTGTGGCCACCTCTCCCTTCCCAGCACTGCTTCCAAAAGCCTCTGCCACACTCAGTCCATGGCAGGGCAGGCAGGTGAAGCATGAACGTGAGGCCTTTGCCTGGGCTGTGAACATGCCCTGCCAGCAGTTCTGGCCCATGCTGGCGGCTCTTACAGCCTACTGACCTTCAACAGGAGGGGCTGGCCTTGAGGCCTTGCTAGCATGTCATCCTAGCCTGAGACCCAAGCCTTGGCTGGCTGAAGTTCATCGCAGGCTGCTGCCTGCAGGGGCATGCACTGGGAAAAAGAGAGCTCCCTATGGCTTTGGCTGGGCATGCTTGCTTCCTGACTCTGATGAGAATGCTGGGCAAATGGATTTCTGGGATTCTTTAAGGGCCAAACACAGACCACTGTTTTCAGAGCCCCTACTATGTGTAGGCTCTGTGCTAAGAGGTCACTTCGTCCTTGAAGCAATGTTTATACAATTGTCCCCATTTTATAGGTGAGGGCACTGAGGGTTAAAGATATTTAATGACTCACCCACAATCATACAGCCAGTATGTATGTACTGACAAGGATGTACGACAAGGACAGGCCCTCTCTGGGCCTTAGTCTCTCCACTAAATCATGAGAAGCTGGAAAAGAAGCTCTCTAATGTATAATAATAACAGCACATAAAGGGGGAAGAGGGAATAGACTTATATAGGAGTAACTTAATTCTCACTGGAATTAACTTAGTATAAATATGAGGTAGACGGTGATATGTTTAGATATATATAGTAGGTCCGAGAGCAATCACTAAGGAAATAAATCAAACAAATATAGTGAAAAAAATCATTAAAGGAATTTAAATATTACAGCAGAAAATATTCACTTAAAGCAAAAAGGAGAAATAGAGGACCAAAATGACAAGAGATGTTTAGAAGACAAAAAGTAAAATGGCAGATATAAATTCAAATATATCAATAACAGTAAATAATAACATTATTAATAATGTTATATTATTAATAATATAAATAATAACATTAAATGAAAATTGATTGGACAACTCAATCAAAACAGGATCCAACTACATACCATCTATAGGAGCCTCACTTGGGACACAAAGATGCAAATAGGCTGAAAGTAAAAGGATGGAAAAAATATACCATGCAAAAAGCAACTATAAGAAAGCTGGAGGGGCCGGCCCTGTGGCTTAGCGGTTAAGTGCGTGCACTCTGCCGCTGGTGGCCCGGGTTCGTATCCCAGGCGCGCACTGATGCACCGCTTCTCAGGCCACGCTGAGGCCGAGTCCCACATACAGCAACTAGAAGGATGTGCAACTATAACATACAACTATCTACTGGGGCTTTGGGGGGAAAATAAATAAAGTTAAAAAAAAAAACAGAAGAAAGCTGGAGTGGGGGCCGGCCCCGTGGCGCAGCGGTTAAGTGCGTGCACTCTGCTGCTGGTGGCCCAGATTCGGATCCCGGGCGCGCACTGATGCACTGCTTGTCAGGCCATGCTGTGGCGGCATCCCATATAAAGTGGAGGAAGATGGGCACGGATGTTAGCCCAGGGCCTCTTTAGCTCAGCAAAATGAGGAGGATTGGCGTGGATGTTAGCTCAGGGCTGATCTTCCTCACAAAAAAAAAAAAAAGAAAGCTGGAGTGGCTATACTAATATTAGAAAAAATAGACTTTAAAACAAAAAATTTCACTAGAAATAAGAGGGACATTTTATAATAATAAAAGGGTCAATCCACCAGGAGGTTATAACAATTATAAACATATACGCACCTAAGAACAGAGTCCCAAAATACAGGAAGTAAAGGCTGGCAAATTGAAGGGAGAAATAGACAACACAACAGTAATAGTTGGGAGGCTTCAATACCCCGTTTTCAATAATGTATAGAATTTGGTTTCTTCTCTGCTTTTTGACTGGTTGTAACTGCTTGAGTTTTTGATGAAGTGCCAGCTTCGCATTTTTATTCCCTTGGCTGTCAGCTACCCTAAGCTAAAGTTTTCCATTTTTCTTCAAGACCCACAGATGAAAGATGGCAAGGAGAGGCCTTCCGACATCTCCTTCTCCCAGGCAAAAGGGAGCAGTTTAAATTGTCCGGTCTGACCTCAACTTAGGAGATATCTAGCCCTTGGCTGGAAAATATATAGCATGGGTGCCACCATTTCCTGTCTATGGAAATTAGACAGGAAGACATTACTCCCTGTCTATGGCAGACATTACTAATTGACAATGGTTTTCTTTCCTGTTTGGCCCAGGAGGCAGCCTCAGCATTCTTTTCAACACAGCTCTCCACACAGTGATTACACCTGGTCATGAAATGGAACTTTTGGCCACCACTCATCTAGAGTGACCACAGTCCACCATGCTGCCACTCCTGAGCCAATGGCCAGGGCTTTGGCTGGGACTAGAGCTGAGCCAGTAGTCACTCTGCTGTTGTATTCTCTCTAATAAAGTACAGGCCAGCCAGCTGTCCAACCCATGTCACCCTCTTCCTCTGTACCATGTGGCCTCTCACCTTTGAAGCCAAGGACAGGACTTGGGAGTGTCAGGGACATCAGCCCTCTTGGGGGAGGAGTAGGATTGTATGGGGTCCATACTGCTATCTGGGTTCTGGACTCTCCTGTTGAGTGTGTCCCAGCTGCTGCAATGGCTTGGGAAACACTGGACAACCCATGATCCAAGACAGATGTGCTACCAGAGAGCTGCCCACGGCAAGGTTGCAGGTGCCCAGAATGAAAACATAGGGTTGGATGTGCGTGCGTGCCTGCTCAGCATGCAGAACCTGCCGCTGAGGTGCCAGCCCCGTGGGGTCACCTTGAAGACGCCCCTCCCTCCACTTGCCTCAGCAGCAGATGAGAGTCTCGCCCCCCCGGCAGTGCCAGGCTCATTACCAGCCAGGCGCAGAGATGGCATCACCCGTGCCTGCAGATGGAGCAGGTTGGTGCAGGCGTCTGCCTGCATGGCTCGTTGGGAAATTAATCTTCTAGTCACCACGATCAGCAGAGGTAGGCACCACTTTAAATTATGAGGGAAACTCTTCAAGTTTTGAAATGTAGGGCCCATTTTATCAAGATAAATATGACTGCAGAGAAATAACATGATGACAGCCTCCCTTCCCACCCCCTCTGCCTCCCTGTCCCCCTGTATCAGCTGCGGCAAGGACAGAGGATGAAGGGGGCTTTGCCTGTATCCTGGACTTGCTTCCCAAGCAGCTTCGACAAAGACGCCCATGATCAAGAGGAAATGGTACCTCAAAATCCCAGCTCTTCCCTGAGATGCAGCCCTCCCTCCACATACCAGCATGAGTAGCTACCATCTCCTGAACACCTACTGTGTGTCCCACACCATGCTTGGTACTTCTCATGTACCGTATTATCTTCTTTAATCCTCATGATGGCCGATATTGGGATCCCCAATTAACAGGTGGGGGGAAACTAAGCCTCAGAGAGATTAAGTAGCTTGCCCAAGGTCA